CAAGGCTAGCGCTCTACCACTTGAGCTACAGTGCCACTTCTGGCTTTTTTCTTTTTGCTTATGTGGTGCTGAGGAATCGAACCCAGGGCCTCATGCTTGCAAGGCAAGCACTCTACCACTGAGCCAACTTCCCAGCCCCAAAAGCTTTTTATTTTAAACTTGTTGGTAGCTTTTTCTCTTAAACCTTCTAATCAAAAGTTCTGTAACTAAAAGTGAGTTGGTATATTTTCTCATAATTATTTTAGTAACCTTAGAATTTAATAGAATAAATGAAAGATGAAGTCCTGAAATAATAGTTGATTTGAGTTTTTTTAATTAAAAATTTTTAAAATTAAAAAAAATTAAAAAATGGAAAAAAAAATTGTGCTGCTGGTTTCTGTACCAGTGCCATCAGGATCACCTGAGAACTCGTTTGCAAGAACGATCTTGGACCCTAACCCAGACCTACTGAAACAAACTAAAACAAGTCTGGTTTTAAAGAAGCCCTCATCAGATTCTGATGTACTGAAGTTTCAGTACTATTGATTTATAGTATATCACAAGTATTTTTCTCTAGGAAATCTTAAATCCTTACATCTATACATGGTTTTCTTTTTTCTTTCTTTTAAAAAAATTCTTTGGGTCAGTTTTGGTCGATCAGGGTGCTGGTGGGCTGTCCCTGAGTTCTTTTTCTCAAGGCAAGTGCTCTACCACTTTGAACCATAGCACTACTTCTGGTTTTCTGGTGGTTAATTGGAAATAAGAGTCTCTCCTGTCTGGGATGGCTTCAAACTGCCATCCTCAGATCTCAGCTTCCTAAGAAGCTAGGATTACAGGCATGAGCCACTTGCACCCAATTATAAATGGTTTTCTATTCAATTTTATTTTGCAGATTCTTACAGCCAGTACAGAAAATAGACATGAATCTCACAGATCTTCTGGGAGAACTTCAGAGAGACCCTTGGCCTGTCCCACAGGGAAAGAGACCTTTGCGTTCCTCAGGAGTGGCTCTTTCCATAGCTGTAGGACTTCTTGAGGTAGCAAGGAGGAATTTTTTTGGCATGTAGTGTGTGTGTGTGTGTTTCTGGAGGTCAAACCTATGATGCTTGTCAAGCACTTCACCACTGAATTTCTCAGCGCTGTTGACTTACATTTTTTTTTTTGCTGGTCCTAGGACTTGAAATCAGGGCCTGGGTTCTGTCCCTCAACTTTTTGCTCAAGGCTAGTGCTCTACCACTAGAGCCACAGCTCCACTTCTTTTGGCATTTTTAGTAGTTTATTGGAGCTAAGAGTCTCACAGACTTCCTTGCTCAGTCTGGGTTGAAATCATGATCATCACATCTCAGCCTCCTGAGTAGCCAGGATTATAAGCATGAGCAACCAGTGCCTGGCTGTTGACATTATTACTATTATTATTATTATTATTTTGGGTCCGATTGTGGAGCGGGGCCTGAACTCTGGGCCTGGGCACTGTCCCTCAGCTCTTCAGCTCAAGGCTAGCACTCTACCACTTGAGCCACAGCGCCATTTCCGGCTTTTTTTCTTTTTGCTTATTTGGTGCTGAGGAATCGAACCCAGGGCCTCATGCATGCAAGGCAAGCGCTCTACCACTGAGCCACCTTTCCAGCCCCTGACTTATTATTTTTTTTGCCAGTCATGGGGCCTGAACTCTGAGCCTGGGCACTGTCCCTCATCTCTTCAGCTCAAGGAAGGCTAGCACTCTACCACTTGAGCCACATTGCCACTTCTGCTTTTTCTGCTTATGTGGTGCTGAGGAATTGAACTAAGGGCCTCATGCATGCAAGGCAAGCACTCTACCACTGAGCTACCTTCCCAGCTCCTGTTGATTTATTTTTTAAGCAGTACTTTTTTTTTGGTCCAGTCGTGGGGCCTGAACTCTGGGCCTGGGCACTGTCCCTCAGCTCTTCAGCTCAAGGCTAGTGCTCTACCACCTGAGCCACAGCACCACTTCCGGCTTTTTTCTTTTTGCTTATGTGGTGCTGAGGAATCGAACATGCATGCAAGGCAAGTGCTCTACCACTGAGCCACCTTCCCAGCCCCTTAAGCAGTATTTTTTCTGCCATTTCACTGGCTGTAGGAAGAAGAATAAGTAGATGGGAGTACTCAATGTGTCATCTTCAAGTATGTCATGCTATATGTTAATAAAAAAAAACTAGAGCAACAGCAATAATGAAGCAGAAAAAGATGCCTTTTCTTTTTATTGCTATGTATTTAAGCAAGAGAAATGTTTATAGGGATTAAGTTTATAGATTATTTTTTTATTAGCATTTTTTTGTCAGTCTTGTGGTTTGAATTCGGAGCCTGGGTGCAGTCCCTGAGCTCTTTTGCTATAGTCTAGCACTCTGCTGCTTTGAGCAACAGTGTCACTTCTGTTTTCTGGTGGCTAATTGGAAGTAAGAGTCTCAAATCCTTTGTTGTTCAGCTGCCTTCAACAGTGATCCTCAGACCTCAGCCTCCTGAGTAGCTAGGATTACAGGTGTTAGCCACTAGCACTTGGTTATAGATTCTTTTAAAATTAGAAATATCTGCCAGGCGCCAGTGGCTGACACCTGTAATCTTAGCTACTCAGGAGGCTGAGATCTGAGGATTACAGTTCAAAGCCAACAAGAAAGTCCGTGAGACTCTTATCTCCAATAAACCACTCATAAAACCAGAAGTGGCACTGTGGCTCAAGTGGTGGAGCACTAGCCTTGTGCTGAAGAGCTGAGGGACAGTGCACAGGCCCAGAATTCAAGCCCCACAATCGACCAAAAAAAATGTATTTAGAATTTTATTTTATTTATTTATTTTTGCTGAGTACTGTCCCTGAGATGCTTTTGCTGAAGGCTGGTGCTTTACCACTTGAGCCACAGTACCACTTCTGTCCTTTTCTGTTTATGTGGTACTGAGGAATCAAACCCAGGACTTCATGTATGCTAGGCAATCACTCTACCACTAAGCCACATTCCCAGCCCCCTATTTAGGATTTTAAAAGAGAATTGCACAACTTTTTTTTCTTTTTGCTTTTTGCTGGTCATGGGGCTTTAACTGTGGGACTGCATGTGGTCCCTGAGCTCTTCAGCTCAATGCCACTTCTGGTTTTTTGGTGGGTAATTGGAAATCAGAGTCTCATGGACTTTCCTGCCTTGGCTGGCTCTGAACTGTGATCCTCAGATCTTAGCCTCCTGAGTAGCTAGGATTATAGGCATGAGCCACTGGTGCCCAACTTTAATTTGGTTTTAAACATTGGTTTTAAACATTGATTTCCTAGAAATAATGCTAAGTCCTTAGAAATAATACTTTTCTCTCTTTAGAAAAAATATATTACAACTCATTATCAGAAATGTATAACTGCATGTTTTTGTTTTCTTGAATCTCTTTTGATGAGTTCCCTGTTTCCTACAGTGCACTTTTCCCAACACTGGTGCTCGCATCATGATGTTCATTGGTGGTCCTGCTACTCAGGGGCCTGGAATGGTGGTGGGAGATGAATTGAAGACACCTATAAGATCCTGGCATGACATCGATAAAGATAATGCCAAATATGTTAAGAAGGGAACTAAGGTAATGCTGTTTTGTAACTTTTTAAAAACTTATTATAACATGAGTATAGTTTTAAACACTTCCACCCACCCCCTTATGGCCTTGAACTTGTTTGGCATGCAGTCTCCCCTTTGAGCTTCACCTCCTAAAAACAGGTATTCTATTTTTGACAGTAATCTGGTATGAAGTCTGATACTGTAATACTATTCAAAGGCATAATATTTGCATATGTGTGTGAATATATATATTTGTGTGAATATATGTTGAGCCATGTCTTCATGGCTCTGGTTTGAAATACTGAAAAACTTAGAAGTGAGTCTGAATAAGTATCTCTAAAGATACTCCGGCGAGAAATCCTGTGTGTTTTAAAATTTTTTGTGTTACAGAATATCTTTCTTTTTAGGAAAGTCTAGTACATTTTGCAGTTTTACTTTTAGGCATTAGGCAGTCTCTACTGTTTCCTGTTCATAGTTTGAATTCACTGGCATTTTTTTTTTTTTTATGTTGTTGGTCATGGGGCTTGAACTCTGGCTGGGCGCTGTCTCTGAGCTCTTCATCTTAATGCCAGAGCTCTACCACTTGAGCTATGGTGCTACTTCTGGTTTTTTGGTGGTTAATTGGAGATAAGAGTCTCATGGACTTTCCTGCCCAGGCTGGGTTCAAACCACTATCCTCAGTTCTCAGCCTCTTCAGTAGCTAGGATTACAGGTGTGAGTCACTGGTGCTAGGGTGGCATCTTTTTCTTGTGAATTCTTTTCTATTCCTCTAATGTTACATTTTGGAATTTGTGCAAGGATATTTCATTAATGATGATTATGGTCTCTTTTATATTGGTTATGCTTGTTAATATCCCTGTTAATTTTTAGTTCAGGTTTAGTTGTGCTGTTATTTCATATTTTTAACAGTCATCATTATATTTTTGAAAATTTTTTTTTTTTTTTTTTGGGTCCGGTTGTGGAGCCTGAACTCTGGGCCTGGGCACTGTCCCTCAGCTCTTCAGCTCAAGGCTAGCACTCTACCACTTGAGCCACAGCGCCACTTCC